TTATGCCTATTTGGTTCAGTATGAGCTTATCGGTGGGTGCCAGTCAAGAACACAATCAGCTTGAATTGTATCGATGCAAAAAGAGGAGGAGAATCAAAAGAATACATACATCCGGGTCGAGGTCACTGTTCAGATCTTCCAGCTCTTCGGCCGAGAGTTTCGAAAGCAGATTTTCCAGATCAGTGTCATCGATGTCGCGCAATTCCTTGCCATACAGTTTTGGCGCAGCAGTGCCCACTTTTGTACGAGCCGCTGGTGCAATAATATTTGTTTCCTCCGAGTAATAGCTGTAAGCAGATTGGAACATCCGTGAAACCATGATACTCTTTCGAGAGATTCAGGTCAGGGAGAGCTGTGATGAAGAAGGGTCCAGAGGGTGAACGAAAAATTCTGAGGAGCTGCTACTGCTGCAGCAGCACTAGCCGAAAGAGAAAGCGCTTCACTGTGAGGAAGAAGAGGAGGAGGTAGTAGTTCTGCCCGCACAAATCGATGCTTAAACAGATGGAGGGATGAAAAAAAATGAGGGAAGGGCCAACAACGGGGCGATCCGGGAAAACTATGTCAATGGACCACCACCACCACACACACAGCACACTCTCCTCCTACAGCTAATTTGCGAGTAGTGTACACGAGCTGAACATATGTGTGTATGTGTGTGACCTGAAATTTGCACTACACATAAACAAACACCCGGGAAAATGTGTGAAATGTAAACAAAAATGAACTTTTTGTGGATTTTGAAGGGTTCTATCTGGATAAAGCACAAAGCGCCCCATTTACGCAATAATCCTCCAAAAAGACCACCCTCAAAAATGACCAGTAGCCAGCTGATTTCACTCAACTAGACCTGATTTCAAGTTTTCAAGAACTCATTCAACAAGATCTGATTTCAACATTCAACAAGTTTAGAAGCCAGCTGATCCCCAGCTGATGAATATCCATCATTTCGTATTCGTCAAATACCCAAAATGAATTGCGAAAAATTACAATTCGATCTGTAAAAAGGGCTAAGTCTTAGAAAATCCTTTTTGCACTCAACTGAAAACAAAAAGCCTAGGAATCAAACAATCGCATGTAAGGAGCGATGAAAAAAAGGGGCCAGTAATTCAAAATTTTGAGAACACAGGCAGTGTGCTTTTTGAGGGCAAAAAGACAAGAGTGAAATAACTGATGGAAAAAACTGAGGTTTAAATTTTCTAAGTATATATTTATATATATAGCCCTAGTCATCCTGTGTTTTTGTGTGAATTTGTTTTTTTAGAGTTTCTTCCAAGTATATATAGCTCCAGTCACACTGTGTTTTATTTTTTGTTTGGATTTGTTTTTTTTAAAGTTTTTGGTGCAAAACTGCTATGGCCTTCGGGATATTCTACAGCAATGTTGGGCTTGCACATGCATGCTATGTAAACGGTAAAGAGTTTAGGTTGAAGCAAAAAAAAAAACTTACTTGCTAGACATTTTTAGCGCAGCAATA